CATCACGAGCATCGCCTCTACCTAGACTTTCCAGGTTTCATAATTTTTCTTGTTAAGGAGCTCCATGCGGTCCGTGTATTGAGCCATTTTGATCTTGCACTTTCGCGCATGTTTACCGACTCCTTTCGCACTTTTTCGACACGTTTTGAGTTCACTCTCACGACACCTGGGTCCATAACCTGTTAAAAAGTTAACTATTTTGCTCGGGAAGACAATTAAGCGGCAGTCTCACTCACTACGTGGTACTCAAGAAGGAATCTTTATTAAAAGCAAATAACGTCGGCGTAGAACAATAGTAGTGTTCGGTAGCGCGTTGTGAATACAATTGAGTAGTAGAGGGGGACCGTGCGACGATCGCGTCATAAAACAAAATACAGCTAGGGCTAACTCGAGCCTCGGTCTGACAACGGTAGGTGCGCGAATACCGCGAGTGATCGTGCCACCTTTCTAGCTCGATAGAAATCCCTAGACTTTAAAGCGGCGTTCACGAAAATCTCCGAGTCGCTAACGAACGAATTTATTCGCGACCTAACATAGAATATACCTAAAATGTTGCACGAGACATCCTAAAATGTTCTTTAAATAAAACATTATCATATTGAGGAACAATTATTTCATAATAATTTTGATATATCGCTTTTTCGCCATATTCTCTCACATATAAATTATTCAGCTGTGGTAACGGTTCAATAAGATGCTCCAGCATTAAACGCAATTTAACGTTATTTCGTACGTTTACACCATGATCTGTAGCGAATAGGAAAAAATATTTAAATTGTTCATATTACAGTTTGCCTTCAATACGATATATAAATTACAAACTGTAACAACAGTTACATGATATTGATATAAATAGTAGAATTTCTATCCACAGATATTTTTTTCTTTTTTGGGTTCAGTCTTTACATACCAAATAGCTGTTTACAAATAATTTTATTGCTTGCTTAGTACATGAACAGTTTTTTTTTTTATATTAGAATCTACAAACATATAAAAAATTTGATTTTTTAAGCTTTCGCAATTCATGCACATTGGATTTGGTTTCCGGGTTTGAGCCGCGTGGATTTATCTTTGTCTGATTCCGACGTTTTGTGAACATTTCAGTCCGCTTCATCAGGGAGGAACGACCTGATGCCAAGTTGCTCCTGAGAGGTCTTCCCTTATATAGTAGTATAAGGTGAAAGACTCCCACCCAATTCTTAACAGCCCAAACAACGAATCTTATAAAGAACAGTACTCTCGAAGACAAAACAAAAACCATCTTAATCCCAAAAAACGCAATATCTCTAAGACTATACGGCCTTCCCAGAATCCACAAGACCAACATACCACTCAGACCTATAGTGAGCGCCATAAACTCCCCAACATACAAACTGGCACGCTTTTTAATTAGTAAACTGGAACCTGTCAGCAAGAACACTCCCTAAACCGTCAGAAACTCGGCGAATTTCATACAGAAGATAAAAGGAATCCAATTTCAATCAAACGACATTCTGGTGAGTTTCGACGTATTATCCTTATTCACGCAGATCTCAATTCCAGACATCATCAAAATAATCAAGACCTCAAAACAAATCCCTTCCGATCTTATCCCCCTAATCGAACACTGCCTGAACAATACATATTTCAGCTACAATAATCAATTTTATAAACAAATTTCAGGTGCAGCCATGGGATCCCCAATCTCTCCAGTCATAACTAACATCTTCATGGTACATTTCGAATCTCAAATCATCCAAAAGTGCCAGTTGAAATCCCGAATACGGCTCCGATATATAGATGTTTGGTCATCTAGCAACACGGAAAAAAAAACTTCAGGAATTCCTCCATGCGCTCAACACACAACATCCTAACATTATTTTCACAATGGAAGTCGAACAAAACAACAGACTCCCATTCTTGTCCTAGTCACAAGAAGAACAGATGGTTCCCTGGTCACTAAGTTTACAGCAAACCTACACACATCAACCGATATCTCCATGCCGAATCACACGATCACCCAGCTTAAAAACAATCGGTCCTCGATTCGCTAATACACAAAGCATTAGCCATCTGCAACAAGAAAAAGCGAATTCAAGAATCTCTTCAAAATACTTCAAGGAACACTCTTCAAAATAATGGCTACACGGCAATGCAAATAAACAAAACAATTAGGAAACATCAAACCAGAAGACATCAAAACACAGACTAAACAACTCCAGGGACAGACGAAAGAACGAAATTCCATCCAACCATCTTCCTTCCATACAAACAGGAAATTACAGACCAAACTTTTTTAGAATCCTAAAAAAAACACAATATCAAAGCTATGTACAAAAATGGGACAGTATCTCAACAACCCAAAAGATAGAAGACCTCCACTAGACACTCCTAGAGTATATAGACCCTTGCTCCTCCGGCAAAGTCTATATAGGAGAAACCGGAAGGATAGTGAACATACGTATAAGGGAACATCAAAGCGCAATCAAACTGAAAAATATAACACAGTCAGCACTAGCGGAACACAATCTAGAAAGCGGACACAAAATCCTGTTTTACGGAAATCCTGTGTTACGGAATAACAGTACTGACCAAAACCAACAACTACATTCCTAGGAATTATAGGGAATCCTTGGAAATTTAAAAGCACCTCAACAATTTTAGCAAGGATAATGGACAAAAAATCAGTCCAATCTGGCAATCCTCCCGGTTTCCAAAGCATGACAGACAACAAATTTCCCACCACCATCCTCCTGCCAATACTCTCCTCTCACCTTTCTGTCTCTTTCCCCTGCTCCCCCTATGTCAACTACTATATAAGGGAAGACCTCTCAGGAGCAACTCGGCATCGGGTCGTTCCTCCCTGATGAAACGGACTGAAATGTTCGCGAAATCGTCGGAATCAAATAAAGATGAATCCACGAGGCTCAAACCCAGAAACGAAATTTAATATAAAAAATTAGTGATAGATATTATCTTATTATTTTTTCAAATGATAAGTAAAAGAAGAGGAGGAAAAATTTGTAAGTATATTTAAAAAAAGAAATGGTATGTTATATACAGGGTGTTCGGAAAGTACCGGGACGCCCGAATATCAGGAAAAATATAAGTTTTACAAAAAAATGTTTCAGACAAAAGTTGTGGCGTTTAAAAAGATGTATTTACTGATCACATCAGTTTGACCTTGGGTTGCGTAGCGAAGGTCAGGTCAAGGTCACATTAATTTTTTTAAATG